CAGTTGGGTCCTTGTAACTGAGATCTGACCCTGAACCTAAGTTGAACCAGGTCTGAGTTAGTTTCGCTCTAATTGGGTCCTGTAGGGTCCTGCTGACCTAGGACCACCACAGCTGCTAGTTAATAGATGGAGCGCCATGCTGCCTGGCACAGGTCCTTTGAAATTTGGGTCCAATCTTTTGGATTTTAAGAACCACAGTTCACTGGATATAAGATCTTAAATGGTTTTGGTTTCACTAACTTGGTCTTCATTGTCTGCTTCTTAGTTTTTTGTAGTCATTTGGTGATGTGTCTGCATTTGAGTCTCTGCTGTCAAAGCAAATACTGAAGGAGGGGGGTTGTGGGATTCTTTAGAGGTGCAACAAATGATTTTTTTCACTATTGGTTTATCTGCTTATTTTTGTCTCAGCTATGTCTGTCACAAAGTGCCGTTATACATATCATGTTAAAAAGTAATCAATTACAGAAAGTAAGAAAAACAACAGGTCCACCTGCACTCTGACTCTGAGCCACAGAACCTGTTTAAAGTTCCTCTACAAGTTTCAATCAGGACAAACATGGACTGAAACATTGTCAATCGATTGTTCAGTCTAAAACGTATTAGAAATACTGAAAATGCTCACATGTAGATTCTTTCTTCTTCTTCTTTTTTCACTTTACTTCCATAGAACAATAAAAGAACAAACAAATCCTCAACTGTGAAAAGCTGCGAACAGAGAACGATCATTGTGCTTAGAAAATGACAGATGCTTAATCGATTAAAAGTTGTTTCTGCCAATGAAGTAATCAATGAATTTATTTCAGCATCAGTGCTTTCTAAGAATTCTTAGTGAAGGTGTGATTTTTGTCAGATTTACAAAGAATCAGTTGCCTGATGAAAAACAAAAGAAACGTCTTTAGGCATTCAGTCAACATTAGAGGAGAGGAGAGATGGAGGGAGAGCAGACAGAGTGATAGCATCAGACTGCAGGACGAGGACAAGGACATACTGATTAACTGACTGTGTGTGTGTGTGTCTGTGTGTGTCTGTGTGTGTGTGTGTGTGTGTATGTCTGTATGTGTGTGTATGTATGAGACCAGTGGGAGTGAGTACAGATAGAGCTGTCAAGATAGTGATTTACTGATGGGGGGGCAGTGGCTGCTGAAGGGGAATCAATAAGGAGGAAACCGTAAAGGACACGAAAGAGAGAGAAAGAAGATATGAGAGGAAGGAAAGAAGGAGAGAAGCGTGGACAAAGCCAAACAAGGAAAGGAGGGTGGGAAATCAAGTTTTGGAAGAATTGTGGAACAAAAAGGGAGGAAAGTAAATATAGAAGCAGAAATAAGGGAGGGCAGGAAGTTATTCACAGTTTATGCACTCTTGTTCCAGATCTGCAGCTACTGACATGTATGTATATGTATGTATACCTCATCTACATGACTGTAGATATCAAAATTTGACTATAGGCTAACAAAAAAATTAAATAAAGGATTCCACATTTTCTCAAAGAGTTAAGTTCCTGGTACTGTGAGAAGAATTTCAAACAGCATTTAGAATTCATTTTATATTTTTTCTCACTTTAATTGCCGTATTTTTAAAGTATTAACATTCATGCCTCATCAAGTGAGTTTGTGAGTCTGTACCTGTGTTGGAGCGTTACTAGATGAGAGGCTCTTTGGTCTGTGGAAGTGTTCATTAACTGAAATCTTGATTTTTCTCTAACCTGAACTAAAGTGCTTTTGTTGCCTAAATCTAACCAGAGAATGGAGTGAGGAAAAAAAGTCACTGGACTCCTCTTACTCATCCCCCCCAATATTTCACCCTGCGACTCATTTGCAGTCAGTGTTTCCCACAGATCTGAAATATACTGGTGGTGACATAGTGACTTGGTGTGACCAGCAACAACATTTGCATTTATTCAATATTCCTCAGTGACAAACAGAGCACCTAATTTTTTTAGTTTTTTTTAAAGAACAGCTCCAGTGCCTAGTGGTCATATGCCTCTGGTGTTGGTCCATTTATGGATATTCTCAAACATGCAGTCAGGTGCTCTCTTTCAGTCAGTTTCTGTCAGGTCTGACCTGAGAAACAGATGATTGTTGGATGTTGTGTTTGAATTACATGAGCTGAACACACTCTGAGCTTCCAACACACAATAGTCAAAGCTATTATCAAAGTCATAGAACAGTTTATAATAAGCCTAATAAGAACAGAGGTTGTTTTACCTTATCTGTGCAATATCCACCATGTCCGTGTCTTCTAACGTAATACCATACATCTCCCTCTTTCTCTCTTTCTGTTTGTGTCTGCGTGTTAGCAAAATGAAGAGGCACAGGGGAGCGAGTAAAGAATAGTTCATCAATTGCAGATGGTGTCGTTCTGACGGATTGAAAAACATACAAATAAAATGACTAAATTAGTTGACAGATATACCTCGACGGCCGTTAGTATACCTGGCGGCCCGCCCAAGTAAAGTCTATGTGCGGGAAACCCTGGCGGTACAGACATGTAGGGCTTCATTCACTCAAACAAATATGGCCTTTGAACATAATCCAGGCAATAATTATGTATGTCACTCCACTGTAATTGGGATAACTATTCAGCAGTATATAAATGTAATTTATAGGATGCTTTGTCAAAAGAGAAAAAGATTTCTCACGTCTGTAAAAGCTTGTTAACGTCACCAGCTACATTCCTGTTATAAACCACAGTAAATTAACTAGCTAGGCTCATCATGTTGGGAAGGTAACAGTAGAAAAGCCACCCAGTGCTGATAAGAATTCATGGAAAATATCAAATATTTTAAGTTATAAATTACAACTCACTGATGAAATCAATATTTCCTGCTGCAGATCTGTTTAAAAATAAGAGTGTGTCATAATTTAAGTGATTGGTCACACCTTAACCAATCACCAAAGTATTACAGCCATAATAATGATGACACTGTTACCACATAACCAGTTCAGTTTCAGACTATGTGGTAGAGGCCCAATAAAAGACAAACTGCCAAATGAATAACAATAACATCAAACTAACAACGATAATAATTCATCATAAGCAACAGCTACTTCTGGCTTCAGCTTGATTTTGAGGTAAATACTTAAGCTATAGCTTAAGCTATAAACATAACTGTTGGAAAATATAGTATTGCTTCATTCTCCCTGAAAATAGAAATTCATGGATGTTCAAAAATATTATTTTTGATTTAGTTACTCCTTAAATATTTATTTTCCATTTCCATCCATCCATTTCCATTTTCAAGTTTTTAAGTTTTCACCCTCTTCATTTATAGTTAAGTCACATTTCATCCTCTACAAAATTAGTGTATCATTTCCTGTCACTAATTATAGGTAAAATAGGTCAAATAAAAGTTATGAATGACTTGTTTTAGTTTACAGGCACTTGTTGATTTCCAAATAAAACTTACACACAGTGTAATTGAAACAGATAAAACATGAGAAATCCGAATAATATAAGAATTGAGAGAGTTTCAGGCAGCAGCCCTGTGCTCATCAGAACGGGTTCTTATTAAATGCTGGTTGTTTTATAATTTGACTAAGAAAAGAACCAAAGCTACTGTTTGCTTAAAGGAAAAAAAACAGTCATCAGTGATAAATGAATTAAGTTTTGTTCTCTGGACAGGATTGAGTTCTCAGACCTGATGATGGAGTTTCCCTGCAGGAGAAACTGAATCAGTGAGGGTTTAAAAAGGAACGTCAGTCAAAAAAAAAGAATCTGTGCTGTGCTTTAAAGCTGTCTTTGCACCGTATCGACGTGACTTCTGCTTGTTCTGAGCCTCCCTCACACTTTCCAGGAAAGACACAGATGCTCAGCAGCGGCTTTGACTGAACAAACTCTCTCTGTGATCAGGTTGAAAGACTTTAACAGCGTCGACATCAAAGACAAGAGGAGACGCCACCACTCACCGCTGTCAGAGTCTTTCACAAGATTAAACAAAATATAAAAACATGAAAACAAAGAACAAAACAGGTTTATGAGGCTTTGATAATGAGGAAGAGTTATCCTGCAGAGTGAGACACCACAGGTTGGAGGTTAAAGTCAGTTCTCTGCTGTGAAGACACATTTGACTAAATTAATGACAATTATGAGTAAATACACCTCAACATGAATAAATAGATAAAAGCCTGAGAAAATAAACATGAATTCTTGTTCCCAATACAAACTGTACTGTTCCACATTATGAAATATAATTTCAACTGTGCCAGACAGACTGTGTAAGACTGCACAATTACATGAAGTAGCACAGGTTAAATTCAGTCAACATCAGAGAATTATGGGTATCTGCAATTAAAGGCACCATAGTGTGGAGTAAACAACAGTTGTGGTTAAAGTTGGCGCTGACAAGGCTTTGCAGTGATTGTGTTATAAATGATGACTTTCATATTTGTAATCTGTTGTACAGTGAGTTGGGAAACAGGCGAATCATGAGGTCACCATTGTAATTCATTCATTTAACACACTGATCCTATATCATGTGTGATTATACTGAACAGCATGTCCAGCGTGTTGTGTGTTGTTTGTCATGTAAGCCAAGATGTGGTGTCTGCTGTAAAGTTGGTTGTAACAGCTAATTAAGAAATGGATGAAGCTCATTGTGCAGGGTAAACCTGGTCTCATGACATCAGCAGGACTCTGAATCACTGCTATGGGCTGCCATTAAGCACCTAAACTAGGTGGTGTGCTCCTCCCTGTCCACTTCCCCTGCCTGTTGCCATTGTCAACACCCTTTTTGCGTGAAACAACAACCTGCCTAAACTGGCGAGTTCTGTTGAAGATGTAGATTGTGTAATCACACAGTCGACAGACATCTTTGCTTTTTTGTGGCATTTTCTTTGGGGGGAAATCAGCCATCATAATGGCAGTGCTAACATCCACATGTGCAAAAGCCCCCCCCCCCCCCAACAAGTTCCCCTCCGACACTATTTTACAGGAACACCGACACTGCATCCTCAGCAGCTCAGCGCTGCCAAAAACAATTGTGATGGTCTCCCTATAGCAGAATGATAATGGAGCATCCAGACCAGAGTCTAGCTCTGGCACAGCACTATGGAGAGAGGTCTGGCTATTTAAGACTACCTCAACAGTGTGCTGGAGGAGGAAACGTCATGTATTTGTAAACATGCTTTGATTATTCAGCACCAGAGCATCACCTCCATTTGGTTACCTTATTTCACCACTGTATGTGAGACAATTGAATTAAATTCAGCAACAGCAACAACAGATAGAAGGTATAGGATAGAAGGAATATTCTACTGTGTCACTGAGTCAGGAGTCAGTAGGAAGAATATATGTCTGCTGTCTGACAATCTACCATTACAGCCACTTTAACCTGCCAGGGGCCCTGCGGCAAATATTAGCTACTGGTGCGTATTCCTAAACAATTTTGCAATTAAAAAGATTGCTAACACAGAAAGAAAATGGGGCCTCTGTGGCCCCCGAGGGTCTTGGGCCCTGCAGCAGTTGCCCACTTAACTCAGTTGTGATGATTTTTGAGTTTTGTTCCTCTACCTCCAGGCTCACTGATGTATTAATTTAGTTTTGATTTATTGTGTGGTGTACTGAACATGACACCACCTTTTCCCGCTGGTCAATGTTGTGTTTTACTGAAGCTTCAGTGTTGTCACTCACTTGTATGTCTCTTTGGATAAAAGCAACGACCAAACGAGTGAATGCAAATGTAAATGTAAATTTCATCCCTTGTATGAACCACACCTGTGTTTGTTTTGCAGCTGTCAGTTTTTGAGATGTAGAGTATTTGTATTAGTAGATCACTGTCTTACTGGTGACCTCATGTTTCTGTGCCTCCTCTTCTCTTCTCCTCCTACAGACTCAGACACCTCCTCATCCTCCTCCTCCTCCTCCTCATACAGTCTCGGAGGTTTCGTAGACTTCACCTTCTCCCAGGAGCCTCAGGACACGGTGACAGTGCGAGGGGGCGTGCTGCAGCTGGACTGCCAGGCACAGTCTGACGCCGTGGCTGGACCTCTCACCATCACATGGCGTAAGGATGGCGTGCTCCTGAGCACTGTGGTGGATGAGCGGCGGCAGCAGCTGAGTAACGGCTCGCTGCTGGTGCAGAATGTGGTGCACTCGCGGCACCACCGGCCCGACGAGGGAGAATATCAGTGCCTCGCCACGCTGGATGGACTGGGGAGCATCGTGAGTCGGAATGCCAAAGTGACGGTGGCTGGTAAGAGACTATGTTGTTGTATTCTATCCTATTCTGTTCACTTGTTAGTTGAATCTATTTACCTACTTCCACAAGAGACAATTGGAGTGAACCAGACTAATCCTTTCTTGTGTTTAACTTTGAGACTTCTTAGTTGTGACTTAACTCTCAGGTCTCAGGTTTGGCCCTTGACTGGAGATGTTAGTGACTGTGTCCCACAGAGCTCAGCTTTAGGTCCTCGTCTTTCTGGCCCTGTTCAAACCTAATATTGACATCTGCCTTTGCTGATCCGATCACCAGTGGTCATCTCTAAGTTCAGGTGTGAATGTACCCAAGACGGATTGTGGACGCATTTGACATTGTGGACCACGTGTCCACATTCTTTTAGCAGCGTGAACACAAATGCGTCCTGGCCGCATTGAAGGACCAACTACTCCACTGATGTCCTCTGTCACAGTCTGATTAGTCCCAACGCAAAATATTTTACAAATGGATCAAACTTTATTTCACTGGAAGACCTGTGCACAGTGCATTAATTCACTCAACCCCTCTAAGCCCCACTCGCTCTCTCTCTGATTCACACACATACACACCCACACACACACACACACACACACACACACACACACGAGCACCTGGACCTGACTGTCGATTGGCTAAAAACAATGACACATACCTGTTTATTTGCATATAAGAAAGGAAGTGAGATCCGTTAACAAGTGGTCAATGACGCATGTGGAGACACATTTTAAAGCAGGTGTGAACTGAGGTACTTATAGCTGACCACTTGTTAATACCAGGTCTGAACAGGGCCTCTGTGTGACAATAGTTTGCTTCCACTTGACTTGAATGGAAAAATGTGAATAGAATATGTGAATAGAATATGTGAATGGCGACATCAAAGAAAGAAATCTCAGAAGACAGGCAGAATAGGAAATTCCTTCATTCAGATGAATGAACACCTTGACCTGTCTTTTACACACACACGCACACACACACACACACACACACACACACACACACACACACACACTCATATTTATTTATTTGCCTGTAATGTCATTTAGTGAGTGGAGTGTGGCTGAAGATCAATACAGTTTATGAAAGACTTTAACAGAGGGTGAAGTGCTTCACCTTTATCAACACTGTACTGCACTGTAGTACAATATTCTGTGTGATGGCTCAGCACAGGTCTGAGGGATTTCAAGTCTGTATTTAGTTTGACAGAAAAGAAGAAGTTGTATGGAACAAGGCTCGGGCAATATCCAAAAAATTTAATACAGTCCAGCCCAAATATCACTGTATATGACATTATGATATTATGAAAAATGTTGCATATGGTGGGAAATATTCAATATTATTGAATATTGGCCCAATATTGGACAACTGAAAACTCTGGTCCCTTGACAGATTACAAATGAAGTCAGTGCTTACATAATTTAGCCCCCAGTCGTAAAGTCACCTATACACGGACATATTATGAATATTACTACTCTTTGTTTATTCATTTTTACCCATTTAGTTCAATCATCATGCATACACTTACATTTTTAATAACATTTCAGAGATTTTTCTTAAAATAAAAACACACAAACAGATTTCTTGTTGGATTATGGAAGAAAATTTTTCCTTTTTTTTGAAGCAGCATGAACATAAACTGTTGAGCAGAAGTTTAGATTGTACTGAATGGCAAGTCAAACTGCTCAATCTTCAGTCTGAAATATCACTAACTGAAATAACATTGAAGTAACTTTGAATGTCAAGCTGAAACTCTTTCATCAGCACTTCTCTGATATGTCCGATGATTCTTCTCCAATTTTTGCTAAAGTGTAAGGAGCATGGTTCTGGGAAATCGTTCGCTCCTGTTGCTTCAACTCAAACTGATCACCAGTGGTTCACAGAATATCCATCAGCCAGGTCATACATGTTATATTTGTTTAGTCACATATTTATTATTTTCCAAAAATATAATTTCAATTATTTGATATTTTCTCATATAAATTATGCAATTATGTAAGAAGGTTCTGGGTTCGAACCTGTCGGTCTGCTGGAGCCTTTCTGTGTGGAGTTTGCATTATGCTCCCTGCGCGGGTTCTCTGCGGGTACTCTGGCTTCCTCCCAGTCAAAACACATGTAGGTTAATTGGTGACTCTAAATTGCCTGTTGGTGTGAATGTGAGTGTGACTGTTTATTTGTCTCTATATGTCAGTCCTGTGATAGACTGGCAACCTATGCAGGGTATACCCCACCTTGCCCAATAGGACTGGCTCCAGCCCCCCCAGCAGAAAATTATTATTATTCAGACACAGCTGCAGGATCAGACTTTAGACATGAGGGGAGTCACTTCTCTTCATATGGCAGATAGATTAAAATTGATAGCCTGAACAATATGCTGATCATTCCTGAAACTGATAACGTGGTTGTTAATAATGCACACACACACACACACACACACACACACACACACACACACACACACACTGTATCACAGTGTGTATATCAGATGGTTGTCTCTTTAGGCACTCAGCTCCTTGTGTTTGAGTGTTTTGGTCTCTGAAGTGACTCTCCATCCTCCCAGTCAATTATAGCGATTAAAGAGACAGGAGACCAGCAGCTGCAGCTCACAGGGAGGTGAGAGAGAGAGAGAAAGAGAGAGAGAGAGAGAGAGAGAGAGAGTGTGTGTGTGTACTTGTGTGTGTGTGTGCGTGTGTGTGTCTGTGTGTGTGAGAGAGCCTGACAGAGAGACCTTTCTTTGATGTCTGTCTCTTATCACTCCCACCATATTCTAAATCTTTTCAACGCAGAACTGAAACAACTCCTTCCCTGGTACTCCCCAGAACCTGCACCTTTAAACTGGGGCTGTAGTCAGGATCAGTATTAATATTGAGTTAAGACTGAGAGCAGAGGAGAGATTATCAGCAAACATGATGAGAGAAGTCTGACATGCAACAGAGAACTATGGGCTTGCAAGGGGCACGACTGTCACATCCAGAGACCAGGTCCACATCCAGAAACCAGGTCCACATCCAGAAACCAGGTCCACACCCAGAGACCAGATCCAGACCCAGAGACCAGGTTGACATCCAGAGACCAGGTTCAGATCCTGGTCTCAGTTCTGTCTGTCTAAATGTTAATAAACATGTTGTGTCTGAAGTCATTTACACCAGTGGTTCTCAAAGTGACCCCCAGGGCTCCTTGAGGGAGTTCCTGGGGGTCCCGAGCCAAAAGGGTATTATTTTCACTATAATTCCATCCACGAGTAACACAGTGGCAGAGTGTATGAATATTTTGGTCATGGGATTCAAACATTTTCTATAAAAAAAAACCTCTAAAAGCAAAAATCTGATCAGATGGGGGTAGTAGGTAGGTAATTTGTGTCAGTGTATGGCCCCTGATGTGAAAACGTTTGAGAAGCACTGTATTAAACCTGAGCAGGATCTTTGCCTGACTGTAACCAAAGTGCTGTGAGAGTCTGAACAGAACCATAAAACAATGTAAGAATGCTGAATTCACCTGAAGTGAATATTCTGCTGCAAGATCGGAAAACAAACACGTTGTCTGTGAACATTGTACTGTTACATTCAGTACAACACATGTGACTTACATTTCCTCATTATGTCATTAGAAAACATAATCTCTTCGTAATTATGCTTTGTACAAATTGGACATTTGCTTGTTGCAGTTTGGTTGTACACAAACATTATTTGTAGGAGTGGGTAACACCCATAGGACCAGATAATAGAGAAAAATAACTACTGTCTGTGTCTGTTGTAGTTATCCTTGTTGTGATGTAACGTTATTCTGCTTCACCAGTCGATAACTGGGCAGACAACCAATCAAAGCACCTGGAACCTGCATTTTAGTGAATTCAGTGAATTTTGAACCCTAATCCAAACAAACCTGAACTGATATACACACGCATGCACACACACGCACACACGCATGCACACACATGCACACATGCATGCACACGCACGCACACACGAATGCACACACATGCACACACGCATGCACACACACGCACACACGCATGCACACACATGCACACACGCATGCACACGCACGCACAATCAGAAACAATCCACTCAGTAAGACATTAAAACATGAATCAATTCTGCCTGCATCATGTCACACACACACACACACACACACACACACACACACACACACACACACACACACACACACACACACACACACATATACACATTTACATAGGTGGCACACAACACATTACAAGGCAAAATGCTAATGAACATCAGAGGCTTGAAAATTCAATTAGCAGTCTGGCTCTGTGTGTGTGTGTGTGTGTGTGTGTGTGTCTGTGTGTGGAGGTGGATTGTAAACTGGGAATTAATTAGAAAAACTGAACAGTGAGATAGGGAGAGAGGGAGAGAAAAGGACTTAAAGGCTAAGGAGAGAAGAAACAGAAAGAGAGACAGAAGGCAAGCGGAGTGAGAGAGTGATTATTATTATTGTCATTATTATTATTATATTATGATATAGGTGGTTTCTGCCATTGTATTAGCAACATGTTTCCTTATCTGTCGAATAGCTAAAAAGAAGTCTTTTTAGCTGTAACATTATGTCTCTGCCAGCACTGTTAGCTAACATCTTAGTCCTTGGAAAGATTTATGGACTGAAGTCATCTGTAATGTCACTGAGAGTGAGGCAGCAACACAGCTGGAACAAACCACAAACATTTGTAGAAAGCTAAGCTAACTTCAGTAATTAAAAGTAACATTACTGTCAGTCTGCATTCTTTGGTGTTTATAGGATGTTAATAAGAATGAGGATAAGCTATTTCCATTGAAATGTTTCCCTAGATGTTCACTAATCAATGTGTTCATGTTAGCCAATGTTTTAGCTGCTCAGCTTGAGCTATGATGTCTCAGTCTCAGAGTGTTAGTATTTCCAGCCTCTCCAAAGACAAACTATCATCTTTTAAACTCCTCAGTTTGAGGTGACAGAGGGAGAGACCACACGGCCTTCAGTTCATCCATCCTCAATTAGTCGTTGAC